GTTTGTGCCATGTCTCCTCCCCTTGTTCCATCAGCTCCCCTGGTGCCTGCTGCCTCCCAACTCCTCACCCTCCTCTGCTGTCCTGACTCCTGCCCTTCTCACAGCCCTCAGCCCTCCTGCAACCTGCCCCCCCTTCCACCAGCCCTTCTCTCCTCCCTGTTCCCACTCCTCCAGTAGCCCCACTCTGATCATGTGAGCTACCCCTCCTCATCCCCTCTTCTAACACCTCCCTCTACACACCTGCCCTGCCTCTATCTTCTAGTGCTGGTTCCTCCCCTGCAGGTTTCTGCCCTTCTGCTTCACCCCCAGAATCCTCTGGCACCTGCACCTTCCCTTAGCCCTGCACCTTCCTGGAGCCTCCCCCTTCCCTCACTGTCCCTGCCTCCTTTGCCCTCTTTTTCCCTAATGTCCACTCCCTCACCACCCTCTGCCCCCATTCCCCTCATGCCCCTGTGCCCTTACACATGACTTGCTCCATCCCGGCCTTCCTCATGCCCATCCCTTCTGTCAAACATTCTCCCAGCACCTCCCCCTCCTCCCTCTAGCCCCCAATGCCCTTACCCTCTCCTCTCCCAGCATCACCCTGTCCCCCTCCCACTGACACCTCCCCTCCTACCTTTTTCCTCATTGTCTGCACTTGGTCCCCTGCCATTTGTCTCTCCTCCACCCCTGTCCCTTTGGTGCCTTCCCCTTCCCCTCCGACTCCGCACAAGCACCTTCCTCTCCCAGCCCTTCCCCTTTCCCTCTGCACAAGCCTCTTCTCTCCCTCTCCCTTCTGCCTTCCACTTTGCAGGGCCGTGCTCTGTCCTCGGAGTCCGAACCCACAACTTAGCTATGTGGCGCAACACAGCACCCAGCAGGTTTAAAATCCCGGGCTGTGACGTTACGTCACGTCCGGGCGTCTCCCCACCCACTGGTTTGAGCACGCTGCTCAGGGCAGCAGCAGCCAGCAAGGGGGAGCTCAGTGAAGGTTGCACATGGCAGGGACAGGACCGGGGCAGGGAGCAGGGGAGGGTCGGGACCCACTCCAACTCCAAATATTGCTGGAGCATGGGCACCACAAGCCCACACACCTCGCCGCCCATGCCTTTGCTGGCCAGCTGGCTCTCTCTCTCTTTTTCAGAGGGGGTGGGGGAGTGCTGGCTCCTCGCGGAACCCCTAGTTTTGCTCTGCGGAACCCCAGGGATCCCCGGAGCACCAGTTGGGAAACACTGGTCTAGAGAGACTCCAACTCCAAATATTGCTGGAGCATGGGCACCACAAGCCCACACACCTCGCCGCCCATGCCTTTGCTGGCCAGCTGGCTCTCTCTCTCTTTTTCAGAGGGGGTGGGGGAGTGCTGGCTCCTCGCGGAACCCCTAGTTTTGCTCTGCGGAACCCCAGGGATCCCCGGAGCACCAGTTGGGAAACACTGGTCTAGAGAGAGTCTGAGAATGACTCCCCAGCCCAGTGATTGCAGACTCCCCTTAGAGATGGGAGACTCAGAATCCAAGCTTCCTGCTTCAATACACATTTATGTATATACAATGTGTGGAGGCAGGAAAAGGGAATAAGGGAATTTGTGTGCAGCCATCTTGGTCTTGTTAACAAGAGAGCAAGAGTCAGGCTAAGTCTGTGGCCTGACAACGCGAGATCTGTAATTAGACCCTGCTTTTGCCTCTCGCCTCTGTACAGAGATAAGGATAGAATGCTGACTCCGGCAGGGACCTTAAGATAAGGAGCATCTGGGTGGAACTAAATAACTGTTAGCCATTGGTGTTTGTAATGGGAAGGAGACTAATTGTTATTGTTATTATATCTAATAGACAGTATATAAACTGCTTCATAATTGCTTGTATTCGAAGATCTGCCTCGGAAGGGGGGATTCCTCCTCCCCCCGCCCTCCCCCCGTCCGAACCAGATTTTCCCTTGCTGCAGCTCGTAATAAAACTGCCTCTGGCTACTTGTTGCTTACAAACTCAGAGTGAGGACAATGTTTTTTGCCACAAATGGAATAGTGCCAAAGGACCCACAGCATCCAATCCATAGGTTAGTATTTAGGGATTTCTCCCTTCTCCATGTTGGAGATAGATGGGGGTATTAAACCTAAACCAGGAAGAAATGCCTAATCATTTGGTTAAAGGCTTGGGGGTTAGATGTACTCAAAAGAGGCCTACTGGACTGTGCAAAATAGGCAGAGGAGTGCTTAGTTTGAGTCCTGTTGGGGCTTTGTGTGAATAAGGTGCCAAAATGCAGGGCCATATCAGGGTTTAAACACCAGTGTTGTGCATGTTCGGTCACTGAAATTTAAGTACTTTGGCAACTTGAATTGAGGGCTTGTTTACGCATGAAATGTTGCTATGGCACACCTGCACTTGCACTTATGCAGAGCTTCAAACACTACAGTACCTATGTTGACAAGAGGGATTTCCCCATTAACATAAGTAATTCACCTACCTGAAAGGTGTCAGCAAGGTTGATAGATTTTTTTTCTGTCAGTTTAGCATTGTTTTCACTGGGGAGTAGGTTGACTCAGCTATGTTGCTGAGGGTATGAAAAATCTGCACCTCTGAGTGACAGGGTTGCCAGTTTGGATGGCTGTTCCTGACAGTTTCATCACAACATAGTTTTTCACAAAAAACGAATCTTTAATTCGTGGAAACTCCAGGACAACCTTGGAGGATTGGCAACAACATTTACTGGTGTCATTAAGATGACCTGGCCTTAGGCCACTAGTTGATAGCAGGGGTTTTGTGAATGCCAGTGGCATCTAAATATTGGATGTAGTTGCCTAAGTGGCAGGTAGTTGTTTAACTCCCTTTGTAAATATAGCCCGTAGACCCCAACTGTGAAAAAAATCACACACATTTAACTTTACTACAGGGAATTATATTGACTTTGGGAATGTATATACTGCAAACCTAAATCAAGCTATTTTAGGTTGACTTATAGCAACTGTAGCAATTACTGTGGTGGTGCATGTCTACACTACATTTCTCAGGTAGCATCCTCACCAGCAGCGGTTCCACCAGCCTAAGAGGAGCAACAGTGCAGGTTCCTGAGAGACTTGTCTCTTAACTTCACTGGCAGACTTCCTCCCCCCATTTCCCATTCCCAACAGGGTACAGAGAAAGCCCCTCGGGGCTTCTCTCAGACCTGTTTCCCATTGGGAAACCCACTCTAACTTTGCACACACACACCCCTTCTCTGCTGTGAGCAGGGCAGAGGAAGCCACATGGGGCTTTCTTGCCTCCTGTTCCCTACCTGCAGGAAGTAGACAGGGGTTCGGTGGGGGGGGCCTCAGGCTTCTCACTCCAGCTCCCAGATGGGAGTGGGATCAGAGGAGAGAGGATTTCTTGTCAGTTTCACAGCTCTTGCCTTGAAATTGACAAAACAGTGGGGCTGTGTCTAGACTGCATCCCTTTTCTGTAAAAGGAATGCAAATTAGACATATCGCAATTGCAAATGAAGCGGGATTTAAATCTCCCCCGCTTCATTAGCATAAAAATGGCTGCCGCTTTTTTCCGGCTCAGAGCTTTGCCGGAAAAAAGCGCCAGTCTAGATGCGGATCTTTCGGAAAATAAAGCCTTTTCCGAAAGATCCCTTATCCCTCTTAAAATGAGGGATAAGGGATCTTTTGGAAAAGGCTTTATTTTCCGAAAGATCCGCGTCTAGACTGGCGCTTTTTTCCGGCAAAGCTCTGAGCCGGAAAAAAGCGGCAGCCATTTTTATGCTAATGAAGCGGGGGAGATTTAAATCCCGCTTCATTTGCAATTGCGATATGTCTAATTTGCATCCCTTTTACGGAAAAGGGATGCAGTCTAGACAGCCTGGATGTAAGGGAGGCAGTGTATCCACAAACACTGTACCACCCTAACTATGTGGATGTAAGTCTTCTGCCTCTCATAGAGGTGTAATTATTGTCTTGGTGTAATAGAGCACTTACATTGTGAGATGAAGGTTATAGTGAAGATACATGGACATAAACTGTCTTATATGGACCTAATTTTTTAAATGAAAGCTGAGCTACTCACATAACCACTTGACTCCAAGAGCTGGTTCTTTAAGAAAAATACCAAATATACTGTGAGGCTCATAATAAAATAGAAAAAAAAAGACAGAACTATGCAGCACTTTAAAGACTAACAAGATGGTTTATTAGGTGATGAGGTTTCGTGGGCCAGACCCACTTCCTCAGATCAAATTGTGGAAGAAAATTGGCATGACCATATATACCAAAGGGATACAGTCAGAAAAAGTGAACACATATAAAATTGACAAATCAGATTTTAGATGTTGACCCATTAAGATCAACATGCTGTACTGTCTACAGTGAGAGACTCTGCTTCACATTATCCAAGATTCTAAAATCTGGTTTGTCTATTTTATATGTGTTCACTTTTTTTGATTGTATCTGTTTGGTATATATGGTCATGCCAATTTTCTTCCACAATTTGATCTGAGGAAGTGGGTCTGGCCCAGGAAAGCTCATCACCTAATTAATCACCTTGTTAGTCTTTAAAATGCTGCATAGTCCTGTCTTTTGTTTCAAGACCAGACTAACACTGCTACAACTCTATTAATAAAATAGAAAGATCTGGCGATGTTGCATCACTATGCTTCCCTAACTCTCCCTTAATCATGATCTCCCATATGATCTACAATGACATATGTCTGACCTCAGATATTTATACTTTGACAGCACCAATAAGGGTGGAGGGCTAATGCTGCCTTACAACATGCAATATCGAAGCTGGAGTTAGTTCCCAGTGTTTTCTTTATTATGGGAGCTCGTGGGAATGGGACTTCATTTCCCAGGGTCCTTTGGGCGGGGAAGCGGGCTATTTCCTCTGCTGCTGTATTACAGTATTTCATTTTGCCTTTCCTAGCCCAGGTAATCCTGGGAAATGGAGTCCACACCTTCTGAGCTGTCAATACAGGAACGGGACAAAGGCACTACGAATCCCAGTCTTTACGCACCTCCCCTCTAGCCATAATCAGGGAGCTGATTGAATGTGAGGATACACATCCGGGTCCGGGAGCGCTGAGCATATGCATTTCCTCTGCACGCTGACAGCTGCAGCAGTTTCTTTGGCCCTTGCAAAGGTGTAAACGAACTGGCGCTTTTCTGTCAGGGAGCACCCATCTCTAGCCGTGCCCCTATATGGTGAATGCAGCATATAACTGGCACTTATTAATTAGAGAGCGGTAGGGGGTCCCTGGCTTGGGGGGGAGGGAGAATGCCTGGACGGAGGGCATAGCTCTGTGGGCGCCATACAGGATCAGACTGGGGGGCTCCCTCTTGGGGAAGAGTAGATGTAAGTGTAGCTGGGGGGCCATGGCAGGAGGGACGGTCTTGGTGCAGGGAGCCAGCAGGGGACTCGGTCTGCACTTCTGCAAACACATTTTATCCGCACGGAAACAGGCGAAAGTGATCGCTACCTGCAGGAACCCCGAAGCAGCCAGCGCCTTACAAGCGCTGCACGGGCTATATGCTCAGAACCTCACGGTGCTGCGGCTGGATGCCACTCGGGAGGCAGAGATCCGGGATGCAGCAGAAGCAGTCGCGAAGGAGCATGGTCATTTGGATCTACTCATCAACTCTGGGGCAATGTTGCACCCCAGCGCCAGAGGAGAGACGAGCCTGCGGGAGATCTCAGCGGAGGTGGGCCAGAGTTTCCCTCAATGGAAGCATCAATGGGGTCAATAGCAAGTGCAGTTAGTGCACACCTGTTGTATTTCACTGCTGTGGGATTAACTGGAAAACCCCTTGTCCTGCCAGTAGCTCTCAGAGCAAGGACATTCCACACTGCACCTTAGCTGGACATAAGCTGCGCAACTGGAGCTACACAAATTGTGTAGCTTATTTTGAGTTAATTTCAAAATTTAGTGCTATCTACACAGCACGTATTTTGAAATAAATCACTATTCCAAAACGTCCTTTGCTCCTCATGGGATGAGGGTTACAGGCACATTGGAATAGCGAGCGCATTATATTTCGAAATAACAGGTGCACTCAAAAGACATGGAATTGCAATTTCAGGATATCTCTGGGATCCTAAAATAGCACTGCAGTGTAGACATAGCCTCAGACTTGCTTTTCTTCTTTCCAATGTTTTCTCCTCTTTGCAGATGTATTTGTCCAAATTGTATGTCAGTTTAAGGCTTTGCTAAAAGGCTAGATTGACCTGTGGTGAGAAGGGAAGGAGGTCTGAAGAGGAGAGTGACTTTTTTTTATTAAAGGTGGCTTTGCTGACTGAAGCCATTCATCTGTTTGCAGTTGGGTGTATTTCAATAAATATACCAGTAGACACCTCAAAGTGCATCATGGCTTTAAAATTATGTCCAATTTGAAATCAGTGGCTAGTTTCCATGAGAGGAAAATATATGCCACTTACTGGCCCCCTTTCAATGCCACAAGAAAGGAGTCTTCTAATGGCAACTGAAGCAGATCTAGTGGCTTTTTTTTCTCCATACATTCATTCCCGTTGTTTCATGCTCTTTAATACAGGGTTTTTTCTCCATACATCCATTCCCGTTGTTTCATGCTCTTTAATACACAAACTTTGCACTCAGGAGCGCAAAGCTCCAGGATGCATGAAACTGAACGTATATGTTTATGTACTTAAAAATAACAACCTCTGAGAAAAGAAAAAGGGGACACAGCTGGAAAGGTGCCCAAATTTAGAGGGTCTGTTTGGACACCTTGAACATGCACATTTCCAGATACATGGAGTTTGTCTATCTGGAACTGTATAGGTATAGTTCAGTAATGAAAATACACCACAGGTATTCAAGACGTTATTTTCAGACCTTCAAGTACGCTTTGAAAGAAAGTTCTGGTCTAAACATAGCACACTGAGAAGTAAGTAGTTTGCATTATAATTGCAGAGAACATTTGAAAAAATATCCTGAACAAAATGTATTTTGGCCAGTTAGCATAACTCAAAAATAAATTTAACAATCTTTGGCCGAGCTAAAAAAAGAACAGAAAAATGGCAATAGCACACTTTTCAGAGAGCTATGAAATAACAAAAAGCAATCCCTTCCCTCGTCCACAGAGACGTATATCCTTACATCATGTTCCACAACAATGGCAGTGGAAAAAAAGTTATTTTCCACTGGTGTTACAGTAGATTAACTAGCTAGGACTGTACAGAGTTTTTTGGGAGCCTGGGACAGACACTGAGGGCCCCCACTCTTTCAAATAAATTACCCCTGAGGGAAGGCAGGAGGGCGAAGAGTTGAAGAGGAAGCTCACAACACACTCAGGTGACCCTAGAGTGGGATGCAGCTCCAATCACATAGGTCTGGGTCTGGGTTTTGCAACCTAGCTCCAGGGGTCACAATACAACTTAAGTTTGGCCCTGCATCCCTAGCATTTCTATTAAGGACGGGATATTCAAGGGAACTTGTGCTTTACTTAGGTGATTTTGAAAATCCCACTCTGTCTTCATCTGATCCTTAACCTTAAGTAACAGCAATATAATGATTTGGGAATCTGTGTTTGTTTTGTCTCTTTCTTAATGTGAAATGACTTCATTAAGCATATCTGTCTGCTAAGTGAGTTATTCCCATTTCCCTGTTTTTCTTTAGGCTATGTCTCTTAGGGATGTGAACTTGTACCCGTGGACACAGTTAACTGATGATCCTGGGCTCATCAGTTAACGTGCATGATTACACACAACCCTCCTCTCCTCCTCCCACTACTGCCTCTGCTACAGGTGGCTCCATGGGAGTCTCCTTCCCTCCATTCCCCTCCGTGTGCAAGTGTGTAACTGCTGAAATTTACACATTTACCTAAATAAACGCATTTTAACTTCCCCTATTATCACCCCTAATGTCATTACCTCACAGACATTAACCTTCTCTCCTCACCCCCATTCTGTTCTAAAATTTGATTTTTCAATTTCCTGTGTTAATTTTTTTTTATTGTATCACTTTGGTATATATGGTTGTGCCAATTGTCTTCCACAAATTGATCTGAGGAAGTGGGTCTGGCCCATGAAAGCTCATCACCTAATAAACCATCTTGTTAGTCTTTAAAGTGCTACATAGTTCTGTCTTTTGTTTCAGCTAGACCAGACTAACACGGCTGCATCTCTATCACTATGTTAATAGGAGAGTGTCTGTCCACACCGGCACTTTTAGTCATGAAGCAATGTCAGATAGCGGTAAATTTTTTTCACACCCGTGACTGATAAAGGTTTTACTGACAAAATTATTAGTGTAGTTATAAACTTCGTTACTGAATTCATGTTGCTAATTCCATCCCTTCATTTTGTGTTGTTTCTTTTCTTTAACTCACCGTGTTGGTTTTATGTGCTAGGACTAATTTGAGGGTTTTTTTAGGGAAAAAATGATCAGAAAATTCCTAGGAGAGAAAAACAAATGTATTAGCCTTGATGTGGTAAAAAAAAATCAATGGGACTCCTTGCTTAAAGTTAAGCGCATACATACATCTTTGCAATATTGGAACCATAAGAATGAAATTGCTCTCGTGGCCTTTACTGTAGTATTCTTAATAAATAATTTAACCCTAATGTATACATAAATTAAGATGGTAATATAGTTTCCTATTTAGATCATCTTTATAAATACATAAGAATATAAGAACGGTCATACTGGGTTAGACCAATGGTCCATCCAGCCTAGTATCCTGTCTGCCGACAGTGGCTAATACCAGATGCCCCAGAGGGAGGGAACTTAGGGTAACAGGTAATCCTCACGTGATCTCTCACCTGTCACCTACCTCCAGAGAAACTGAGGCTAGGGACACCATTCTTACTCTTCCTGGCTAATAACTACTGATGGACCTAACCTCCATGAATCTCTTTTCATCGTGTTGGTTTTATGTGCTGGGACTAATTTGAGGGTTTTTTTAGGGAAAAAATGATCAGAAAATTCCTAGGAGAGAAAAACAAATGTATTAGCCTTGATGTGGTAAAAAAAAATCAATGGGACTCCTTGCTTAAAGTTAAGCGCATACATACATCTTTGCAATATTGGAACCATAAGAATGAAATTGCTCTCGTGGCCTTTACTGTAGTATTCTTAATAAATAATTTAACCCTAATGTATACATAAATTAAGATGGTAATATAGTTTCCTATTTAGATCATCTTTATAAATACATAAGAATATAAGAACGGTCATACTGGGTTAGACCAATGGTCCATCCAGCCTAGTATCCTGTCTGCCGACAGTGGCTAATACCAGATGCCCCAGAGGGAGGGAACTTAGGGTAACAGGTAATCCTCACGTGATCTCTCACCTGTCACCTACCTCCAGAGAAACTGAGGCTAGGGACACCATTCTTACTCTTCCTGGCTAATAACTACTGATGGACCTAACCTCCATGAATCTCTTTTTTGAACCCTGTTAAAGTCCTAGCCTTCACCACATCTTCTGGCAAGGAGTTCCAAAGGTTGACTGTGTGATGAGTGAAGAAACTTCCTTTTGTTTGTTTTAAACCTGATGCCTGTTAATTTCATTCGATGACCCCTAGTTCTTATATTGTGGGAGTAAGTAAAAAATTTTTCCTTATTCTTTTTCAACGACAGTCATGATTTTACAGACCCTCCTTAGTCTCCTCTTTTCTAAGCTGAAAAGTCCAACAAATCTTTTTAATCTCTCTTCATATGGGACCCATTCCAAACCCCTAATAATTTTTGTTGCCCTTTTCTGAACTTTTTCCAATGCTAAGATATATTTTTTGAGATTAGACAACCACAGCTGTACACAGTATTCAAGATGTGGGCATACCATGGTTTTATATAGAGGCAATAAGATATCTTCTCTTATTCTCTATCCCATTTTTAATGATTCCTTACATTCTATTTGCTTTTTTGCTCTTCGTTTAAATTTGTACACTCCAATGACAAAACAACATGTTATAGTACTAGTTGTTTATTTTCAGATACCAAGTGACCAATGTTTCAAAGTTCAGACAATATCAGCAAAATCTGAAAGAGCTAAAGTAGTTCAGTTTTTTGTTTTCGGTGCAAGTGGGCATTAAAAAGAAAAACAATTATGCTACTTGATGTTTTAGGTTAAATCATTTTAATTTAACTAGCTCAACACACTCTTCAATAAGAGTCCACAAAGCAGAATTGGCTCCATATTGACTCTAACTAAATAAAAATGAAAATTTTATTTGACAAGGAAGAAGATGGAATTAACAAGGCATATGCACATTATTTTGTTTGCTGTTTGCCTTTTGTCTTAAACAAAAAAAGAATGCTTCTCAGTAAGGCTTATACCTTTGGATTCTGTACTTTGCCTAGGATAATGTGATGCTAATCCTTACCAGAGTTTCTGAATATCACCAATAAGGCTGTGTCTAGACTGGCCACTTTTTCCGGAAAAGCAGGTGCTTTTCCAGAAAAACTTGCCAGCTGTCTACACTGGCCGCTTGAATTTCCGCAAAAGCACTGATGATCTCAAATACTATGCTGCTCCCGTTCGGGCAAAAGTCTTTTTCCGAAAAACTTTTGCGCAAAAGGGCCAGTGTAGACAGCAGAGATTTGTTTTCCGCAAGAAAGCCCCGATCGTGAAAATGGCGATCGGGGCTTTTTTGCGGGAAAGCGCGCCTAGATTGGCCACGGACGCTTTTCCGCAAAAAGTGCTTTGTGGAAAAGCATCCTACCAATCTAGACGCACTTTTCCGAAAATACTTTTAACGGAAAACTTTTCCGTTAAAAGCATTTCTGGAAAATCATGCCAGTGGAGACGTAGCCATATAGTAATATGGATTTGCCAACATTTCTGGAAGGATCATCCCCTACACATTACAGTTTATCCTGACCAGCAATTCACATGGGCCAAGTGACCAATAACAAGAAATGTTTATTAGTGAAATGATGAAAAATGATGAGCTGACTTTATATCTTTTGTTAGTAAAAGATGGAACTTTCAAACTGGCATTTGATGGTTGTAAGCTATCTACTTTTACAGTTTCTACTTTATTTTAATGTTCTAGGGTCTTTCCATAACATTGGCAACAAATACCATAGGGCCCTTAGTGATGGCTAAATATTTTGCCCCTCTATTGCGGAAAGGAACTGGAGCATTTGGAGATCAGTTTCCTGACCAGGCCAAACAGCATACGGCCATACTGGTGAACCTGACAGCTAAAGTGGGCTCCATAGGAGATAATGGTAAGTACTGTTTAACATAAGTGTTATGTAGTAACCCAAATATTTTTTCATATAAGAAGATAAATGATTGACATGAATGTTTTATAACATCCAGCTGGTGTGGGCCAGCATAGCTAGTAACAATACAGAAGATCATTATACTTTTCTAAGCATTACTGCATCTTGATTTATATTTTCCTTGCAAAAAATAATGTGTGCAGTAAAAATAATAATGCTTTAATTGCATTAATACATTGTCTAACAAGTATCTATTTAATTCTTTTCTTTATCCCATCTCACTGCTAAAAGTAATTATGATGGTGTATGCTGCTACAATTTTTTAAATTTAAAATTATTTTTAAATTGCAGATTTGTATTAGGTGATAGAAATTCTAGTTAATTAGGCTTTCTGGTTAACTAAGTGCCAGATAACAGAGCTTTTACTGTAACAGATTAACATCCTATGAAGTTTTATGGAAAGCCTTCTTCGATGTTTTCCACCAAGGTTGGCTCAGACACTTTTCATTATTATAAACACTCTGTCTGTCTACTTCCTAGTTCCAGGATCTCTGGGTGTCTTCTATTCCTTCTAGAAATTACTCTCAAAGTTCATTGTCTATATACTCTTAGTCTTAGGGTGTAGAGACACTCACACTTGATCAACAAAACTTTCATCATTCATGAGTGCTTAAAAGACCCCCTTATGAACAACAAAGTTTTTTTGAGGCAAGTGAAAGTGCTGCTTTGTCAGCAGGAGTGCTCTGCTGCCATCAAAGGAAACCCTCTCATAGGGGGTGGAAATTTTTATTTGGCAAAAATGCAGATAAAAAGTCTTTGCACAAGCTGATTTTTAGCAACAAGGCTGGGTTGACACAGCTTTTTTGGTAAAAGTTGCTTAGTGTGACATACCCTTATACTAGAAATCACCTGTGGCTTGGGGATTTCCCCCCATTTTCTTGTTCCCTGTTTCTGAATACCTTTGTTAACATTTGACTTCATGTGTAATTGAGCATCTATTGTGTTAGCTAAGTTTGCATCCTCTCTGGAGGCAATCCTGTTTTTCACCTTTGCTGGTGATTGCTATCTTGATGCAAACTTTAAAAACATAGTTTGGAGAGGAGAATTATCTGTACATGCATTTTACAGTGGTACCATTGCAACAGTGGCTTTCATACGACATAGCATGGCGTTCTTTGGTGGACTAGAAGCTCTCTACACCCCCTGGCCAATTTGAAGAGGTTCTTGAATTACAGTTACAGATCTTTTGAAAGCAGAAGTCCTGAGATGCTCCTAATCTTAGCTCACCCCTTCTGAGAATCAGTGGTTTATCAGCATTTGAAGTAGGCAGAGTTACTCCTGCACATCCTGTACCCTGCACAGAACAGAACCTCCCTCTTAAATAGGACCTATGTGTTTGTGCTTTGTGCTCCAACCGAGAAGCCCCAGATCCACCAGCCATGCATGTTCATCCACCCATGTGTAGAAAAGAAAAGTTGTATGGGTTTAGTCCAGAAGTTGAGAGACAATAAAAGCCATATTGCAGCCTCAATGGCTTTTCATTGACCACCCTGCAGTGAGGTGTCAAACACCTTTCTCAGGCAGGGTAGTTGTCTGGATTGCAGCCTAATAAGAGACTTTCCCTTGGACAAGTTCAGACTTATGCAGTCACACAGATACTATTTCCACACACACAATACGGTGTAGAGTTCATAATTTGATCCTGTCATATAGCACTCTGTTACAAGAAGTTCCAGTCAGTTTTTCCAATGAAACAGCAGTTTTGCAACACAACAGGCTTCCTTGTTCAGATTTATTTGCACTTATTATAGAACGAAATTGTGAAAGGCCTGATGCAAACTGATAGTGTGTTATAAAGCACCAAAGAATGTGACCATTTGTGATCATTGAAGATTCTAAAGCCCTTTTTTTTTTTTTTTTTTTTTTTGCAAGAATGGGATGTTAACACTGGTGTTTTGGCCAAATTGCATTTTGAGTTCTTCCTTTTTGTTCCCCTGAACTTCTCTTTGCAGTTTGAATTGGATATTATGTCTTTCACTTCCACTTGTAGTTTGTTTTGTAGTGTTGTTGTGCACTAGCTTACACATGCCATGTTTCATCTCATACATGTGTGCATTTAGGAGGTGCGGGAAGTCACTTCTTTATATATAATTTGCAAGCACTGTGGATTTTTCTGGATAAATGGCTGTATAAAATGTTAAGAATTATTCTATCAGTACATTTGAAAAACCCTTTACATAAAGCTGCATTTCTGAGACTTTGTGAAAGGATTAATTACGTGAAAAAGTAACTGGGTGAAGAAGGAAAAAATCTATTTGATGTATAATATTAGTATAAAATTAGAGTGTTGACTCATTTCTGGCTGGGTGACTCATACTCTCAGGGATTTAATTATCCAACATAAGTAATTCTAAAATAGACACCGTGGTTTGGTAGATGTTTATTGCTAGCATTGCACAGGTAAACAGGAACCTTGAATTCAGTGTTAACTGGTAAATTGAATACAGAACCGGGAGAAAGGACTTCCTAAAAACTTCTCAGTTCTGCCATTGACTTCCTATCTGTCCCTTGGCAAATAAACACGGGGAGATAAATATAAAAATACTAGATAAATGAATTTAAAAGGAAATAAAAATATAAATATAAAAATACTAGATAAATGAATTTAAAAGGAAACTAAAGGGTAAATGATAAGAGTCCACTGATTTTTTTTCTAAAATTATTTTTTTCATAGAATTTAAGGCCAGAAAGGATCATTATCATCTATTTTGACTTTTTGTATAACAGACGGCAGAATTTTATGCAGTGGCTCTTGCATCAAATTCATAACATCTGGTTGGTCAAAGAACCTATCTTTTAGAAAGACAAACAAGACAGTGGGTGAATCCAATGGTTTTTCTAGAACATCTTCATGAAAGAAATACATCCTTTCCCATGGTTCAGAAATATGGGATAATGCTGTATGTACTAACAAATAACCAAAGATATATTCACTAATGTATTATTCTGAGATCTATCAAATATATTAACATGATACAGTTAAGACACAACGTTGCTTGTGGATTTGCAGAACTTGCTTACCTGACATTTTGTTTTTAGCCTTAGGTGGATGGTATAGCTACAGGATGTCTAAAGCAGCTTTGAACATGGCTACCAAGAATCTCAGCATTGAACTTGGAAGAGGGAAAACTAAAGTGGTATGTGTTTGTTTGCATCCAGGAACTGTGGACACTGACTTATCAAAGCCTTATCACAGAAATGTTCCCAGGGTCAAACTCTTCACCCCAGAATATTCAGTTAATTGTCTAATGAATATTATTGAGAAACTTGATATGGGGAAAACAGGAAAGTTCTTTGCTTGGGATGGATCTGAACTACCTTGGTGAAGATTTGTTTTAATGTAGCTGCTCTGGTACCATAGAGATGAGAGCAGTATAAATAACTAGCTAGAGTAAAGCTTTTAGTAAATATTTTGTTGTGGTGTATTATGGGGGTATCCAGAAGATATGAGATTTTAATCCCAACTATGTCAATGACTTGCTGTATGACTTTGAGCAAACCTCTCTGTGCCTCTAATTCACTATCTGGTAAATGGGAATATTACTTTCCAACCTCAGGGCTCTTGTGAAGCTAGATTTATTAATGTTTATAAAAGGTTTTAAGAGTCACTAAGAAAGGTGCAAAAAAGTGTATAGTTATAATTTTATTAATTATAATAAAAGAATACTGATTATGATTTTCTGCAGAGTTGTTTATTTATTCAGATACCATGCCTTGGTTGGTGTGAATGGGGGGGAGGAGCGCAGTTAGAGAGAAAAGGGATTACATAGCAATGGGAGAAAGACCATTTCAAAAGGCCTTTAATTGTCTCTTTTATGCTATCAATTTAAAAGGTGATAGAACAATGTAGGACTCATCTAATAAAATCTAATCCAATGGTGACATCTGACAGTGGTGAAAACAGAATTCATTGTGCAAAGCTGTGAATATTGACTCCATTTTGATCAAGTCAGCTGCAACCTCTTTCTTCCCCATCTCTCCTCTCCCCCCTCCATCTTTTATTGACAGTTGCCAGATTGGATTGTTATTGATTGCAGGGATCCCCACCACCTGCATACTGATAGATCAATATCCCCAAGAAATTCAGGCTCTTATTCAATTTTAAGTATGTACCATATAATGACAGCAATAGTAAGATTCAGATTACAGTTTTGTCACAGTTTTGCTCTAACTTATTTTCACGTTATCAAAAAGAAGAAACATTGGCAAGTTTCAGTGAGATATTCATGTTGTTCAAATGTAACTCTTACTATTTGGACTAGAGACCGACAATGACGTTTCAGGTTCATATTCATTGGAGATACAGGTACATACTGATTTTAAAAAGCAGGCCACTTACAGATTGATGAGTAATTATTGATGCACAGTACATATGACATTGAGCCTAACGAGACAAGAGAATGATTGACAAAACTGTTCCATACATCATTGAGCGGTACTCTTTACCCACTGAACTTTGTCCAGATCCAAGAGTTATACTAGAAAGCAGACAATCAAACAACTGGTGACGTAGGGGAAGATCAAATAAACTATGCCAAACATACTGTTTACAGTCCTTGTGTTTTGTTGCCCTCAACCTGACTACTCAGAACTTTGGTCATAGTGGTGACAGCCAAAGCACATCATGCTTATGTACATTCATACCAAAACAAAGATATGAAGATCTTTTGGGGGCATTAAAAATAGAACAGCAAAACAATGATGAAAAATTGTGCAGGTTTTTCAGTGTGGTAGGCTCTGGGAGTCAGAACAAAAGAAAGTAAAAAGAAGGAGAAATGTATAAAGGTCCACTGTATGTGATGTGGAAGGTAGCATGGTCTGAAGAAATGAAAGCATTTGGTTAATAGGAGAATCTGAGTTTTAGGCTTAGCTCTGCCATTGACTTACTTTGTTCGGTTCACCATTGCTTCAGTTTCCCCATGTGTATAAGAATAATAATGGTTTTCCATTTTTGTAAAATGTTTTGAGATCAATGGGCACAAAATGCTATATAGGTATTAAGCATTATTTATTATAAAGTCAGGAGGATGTTTCACCCTCCTCATGTTTCCCATGTACACTGTGAATGGAACCAAACTAGCTATACCTAGATTTAAATTTGGTTGGTAGGAGAATTATAAATTGGATTCTTTGAACAACAAAGAAGCAAGGATTCTAGCTTCTCTGGCCAGGCAAAAACCTTTTTCTGAAAATTGTTTTATAAAACTATACTAGATTACCTAGGAAATTAATCTCCAGTATGGCCTAGCCTACATGATTGTCAGAAAACAGCATTTTCTCTCCTTGCTCTGGGACTCTACTCTCTACTAGCAGTAGGGTTTGCTTTAAATCCAATGTTATTTGTATTTGTTGATATGCAGGAGGTAGCGCTCTCTGAAAATTAATTTGTTGGCATGTGTTCTTTTTCTGTTTAAGTGACCGAAGGACCATAAGGTTCTGGGATTATGAGTGAGAGGGTACTTCTGAATACCCTAGCTTGAAGTGGTATCCATCAGGGCTTACCATTTGGTTCAGTGGCTCTCAACACCCCCAGGAATGAAAACTGGCAGTTATACTATAGAGCCCAACAATGACTTTTCTTGATTGGCTCAGGATTTCCTGGCCACCATATCAACGGTGGGCATATTGCAGACTTCTGCTGGCTTTATACATGTAGGTGGGCACATTCTGGATCTTGTGTTCAGGGTAGATTTTTGCCACTGAGGAGATGAAGAATGTACTTTGTTATGGTCAGAGCTTCTTCAGATAGAGGTCAGAATGTGCCATTTCTTCCTTCATGGAAAAGGCCATCAACAGAGAATGAGAATGTAAAAAAGAAACAAAAGAAATAGTATTTTTAAATTCACCTCATACTACTTCTGCTGGTGAGTATTTCAGTTTTAAGAATGCTCTATATACATCCTATAGGTGTTTGTCTGTCTGTGGGATTGGAGCATATCCGGTTGTATATAGTTACAGACTAACTCGGGTACCCCTCTGAAGTTAATTAACAGAACTTGCCCTATTTTATTTCAATAGCAGATGACAGGAAGCTAATAAGAAGCCAACATTAAGCACAATGAGAGGGTAGAATCATAGAATAATAGGGCTGGAAGGGACCTCAAGAAGTCATCGAGTCCAGCCCCCCACCCTCAAGGCAGGACCAAGCTCCGTCTACACCATCCCACCCAGTTTGGTATCATCTGCAAACTTAATAAGCGTACTCTCTATCCCAATATCTACATCATTGATGAAGATATTGAACAGTACGGGTAGATTTGGGGGGAGTGACTTTGACTTCTAAGATTCAACTGTGTATCTGAAGGACAAAGAATTAATTATATCTTGAAATGTCTTTTATTCTAGGCACTAATCTTGCAAAGAGTTACACACTTGCTTAACTTTATGGTTTAACTAGTTCTGCTAGCTTCAGTGGGACTACTCACATGTATAAGTCTTTGGAACTTTGACTGAAGCATGAAGGAGTATACAAACGTGTAATATATTCACTACATAAATAACTTGCAATGCCGGCTACAACACTGATATGTGAATGCTTATTTTTATTTTGAGGTGACATTGTAAATAAGAAATGAGCGACATTATCTCCCATAAATGTAAACAAACTTGTTTGTTTTAAGCAAGACTAAATGGATTTGCAGGCTCTAAAGTTGTATGTTGTTTTGAGTGCAGATGTGTGAAACAAAATTCTTGATTTGTAAATTGCATTTTCATGATAAAGAGATTCCACTATGAAGTGAGTTAAAATACTTTAAAAATCTTTTTTAGAGTACAAATATGTGTAATTAAATAAAAAGTGAGCATTGTATACTTTGTACTCTGTGTTGTACTGTTATTAAAATCAATATATTTGAAAATATAGAAAAATATCCAAACTGTAGTAATACATTTAAATTGGTATTCTATTACTGTTTAATAGGGCAATTAAAACTGATAAGTTGCAAATATTTTTTAATATAGTTAATTTGTTTTTCATTAATTGCTTGAGTTAACAGCAATTAATTGACAGGCCTAGTATAAAGCTTAACTCGAAACTGTTTTTTACATGAAAAAGAGAATCTATTTCTCCACACTCTATTAGGCACTTAAATCATATCTATTAATCATATCTATGAGTCTGCTGAGTCATCTGTGACATCACACCCTTCAAGGACACTTTCTGCATTTTGCAATAATATTCTTTTTGTTTACAACTGTGATTTTTATCATTTAAACTTATCCATACTTCAGTAGCAAGGACCTTACTTTATATACGCAGATTAAGGACCCATTTCTCATATTCAAAATTACAGAGTCCACCTTCTTTCATGTACAATTGTGTTGTACTCCTGTGGCACCTGCAGCAATTTACATGGGGAAAATAATATTAGGTGAGTATTTAATGTAGTTAGCTTTCTTTAATGTGCATTACCACATGGAATCCAGAAGAAAAACCAGCACACTAAAAAGCCAGCTCTCCATGGACCAGCTCACAATTCAGGATGCACTGATCTGGCGGTTAGTTAAAATACAGTGTATAAAGGCAGGGAGTCTCAAATTATCATAGTGCTGATCAGATCTTAATCTGGGAATTGTTTTACAGATCCTATCTTCTCCCAGCCTGTTAATAGGAGTCCTATTTATGACTGCATAACACCGTACGGAAAGAATAGCAGTTGCTTATGTGGTGAAATATCACAAAAGTATCTACTTACTTTACTCATCTTTAAAATGGTAAGTTATGTACTTAGTGCATTTTCCCTCATAAATACGGTTGCCTTATTATCTTCAGCTACATCTACACTGCCACAGGAACGCCATCAGCAGTTGATTTAGTGCAGGGGTGGGGAACCTTTTTTGGGTCTGGGGCCACTGACCCACAGAAAAATCAGTTGAGGGCTTCACACAAAAAACCCTCACTGACATAGCGCCTGAATGAGAAGGAGAAAGACACTCCCCACATTCCCCTTGCACACCAGAGCTTAGGGGGGCAAAGCCTAGTAGATTTTGTGTGCTCCAGCACCGTGGTAGAGCAGCTAGGGGCAAGGGGAGAGCTGGAGTGCTAGTACAGATTCCTCAAGGCTGAGAGGGCTGTGAGCCCAGGGGTCTGGAACCAGGCAAGCCGAGGGCTGCATCCGGCCCCTGGGCCTGAGGTTCTTGCGCCAGAAGGAGTTGTCTACACTGCCCCTTCTTGCGCAAGAAGAACCCTCTTGCGCAATGCCGTTATTCCTGAAAATAATCAGTGTAACGGCATTGCGCAAGAGGGTTTTTCTTGCACAAGAAGGGGCAGTGTAGACAGCTCTTTCTGGCGCAAGAGCCTCTTCGGCAAAAATGGCAGCTCATTAGATATGCAAATGAGGCTCGGCAGTATTCCACACAGCCTCATTTGCATACTTCTGACGCAAAGATTGCGCAAGTGGAGACATAGTCTGGGAGCAAGGCTGGAGGAGTTGGGAGCACAGGTGATGTTCCTTTGATCCTTCTGGTCAAGGGTAGGAGCCCAGGCAGAAACAGATCCATCCTGGAGGTGAATACCTGGGTGCAGGGATCATGTCGCCAGGAGGGATTGGCTTCCTTGACTGCAGGACACTTTCTAGGAAGTAGGACTGCTAAACAGAGATGCAGTTCACGTATTGAAGGGGAAGAGCATAT